GGGGGGGGGGGGGGGGGGGGGGGGCGAAAGCGAAGTCGTTCCAGTTCAGATGCCGTTCTTAACGCAGTACTTAATCTCCCTCGGGACGGAGGGTCGGGCAGCAATGGCTCCTTAAGCTGGCCTCTACGACACCCCCACTCGTAGGGGATTCGAAACACTCACCTTAACGAAACCTGACAGATGAATTAGGGGCTGGATCGTGCGTGGCACGCGCAGACGGCCTGTTTAGCTCTGTTAACCACTGCGCTTACGCCAATCCTTGGTCGTCTTGATTATGTCTTGCCACCAGAACAAAGTGGGCGTGGAGTGACGCGGATGTAACGCGAGCCTGCCTCAGTGTAAATAAATTCATGCGCAGATCACGCCCGAGCCTATCTCGCGGAGCACGGGCTGACCTCGTCGGTTTCGACAATTGAACCATCTTGCACAAGATGAGTTCACGAAACAGGCGATGTTTTTCTGTCGGACCTGAACGACGACCAAACGCCTGAGGCACAGGAGAGATGAAGGTCTTATTACACGTCAAACGGTACAGTCGACCTCGTCCCTAGTCGGCTTGATACTTGTATTTGATAAGGGAAGAGGAGTGTGACTGATCCGTCGCTTTGAAGCTAGCATGATGCACTAAAAGTCCACGTTACAGACTGAAGCGCTTGAGACGAAATGGCAAGGGGCTTTCCCGAGTTAACTTAGAAAATTGGCAAACTGGAAGCTCGTTCGTGCTATTCATTAACACGATGAACTGACTACGTCCGCAGGTTCTTGAGAGGAAAGTTCTCTTGATGATGAAAGAACCTGCCTCTTGCGCCGGGTTAGGGTGTTAAGAGCTTTATACTAATGAAGACTACGGCCACTTCACGAGAGGAACGTACGCTGACCCTTCGGTGATATTTGTTTTCAGACGGCAAGTTCCCGCAGCAAAAGTTATGAAAAATAAGTCCCCTACGTCCTACTTCTCACTTCCCCTGACATACGTGTAGTTTTCCGATCGGAGTGGACGTAATTTTGAATTCTCGGTGGTGAGGAAGTGTTCAACTTCGATGGCCCGGAAGACCAGAGGGCATCGGGTACATCAGGTGAGACGGGACAGTTGAAGGCGCTCCTTCGTCCAGTTGTGGAAAAGAGGTAGATGTGGTCACCGCCAAGATTAGCTAAGAGATCTGACCCATCGGGTGAGAATTGGAGATAGGTTGTGCTAATGCTTCTCAGACCGTTTGGATGAGAGGGGTCCTTCCGTAGAATGTGACCTTGAAGACAAAAAAAGATGGCGTACGTCAAAAAATCGAAATGGACTAGAAAGTCATGTTGGGAGAAAGTCCTGACCGCATCGAATCGTTATGAAACATGACTGAATTAAGTGGTGAAAAGGTACATAATCAATAGGCTAAATTAGTGTAAAATTTAGTCACGAAGGTGGCGTTGGAATATGCTACCATCGATGCAAACCTAAAAGTGCAACAGTTACCGGATTTCCTACGGAAAAGCCGATCGACATGGAACATAACTGCGAAAGTTCTATTGTGCAGCATTTTAAATCCATGGATGCTATAGATATGACCGCAATCGCTGCGAATATCCATGGGAGAGTTTTCACAGCGCCCAAGTGTGAAACGTTCGCTGGAGATTTGACTGAATCACGAAGCCCTTTGACGGCAAAAAACGACATCCTTGAGGAGGCAGATGAAGTCTACCACGCCGGTGGTTCCATCCGACAAAGATGGCTATGGACAAGAAGGGCTACAGTTGCCTAAACTGTTCAATGTCTTTAACACTGGCGAGAGGCGCACCCGAACATGTGGCTGAGAAAGTCTTGACTGACGAATGCACTACCAGCAACCCTACTTCTTTTCTATGGTCTTCGCCTTTTCCATGAAACACCAGGGTGGGCAGTCCACCATCCCCAATTTTGGTGATCCACACGGATAGATAAGGTTGTAACAATTAACAGCAGGAACAATTTCAAGTGTTCGGGTTTTCAGCAGATGATTCTGCTGACTGCACATAGAAGGGCACAATAATAGGAGCCCGAACAGCCTACCATGTTACAGGGATCTGGAAAAAGTGCTTACATCTAAAGAAAATATACGAGGCTCTAATTTCGCCAATTTTTGTGGATCTAGGAGACAAAAGCTACATCGATAAAAAGTGCAAAAGATGATAGGGAACTAAGGTGAGTCGGGTGAGTCTCTACATAGGGCCCTATAACTGTCAAACTGGGGGGAGGGAGGGGGTGAGAAATACATGGCAGCTTCTGAAATGCAGGATGTTTCAGACAAATGACGTGCCTGGGATGTAGTACCGAGTGGACTTCAATGGTAGTTGATAGGGTTGTTGATTCGCGGTCTCCGAGGAAGTGTACCTAGTTGCGAGAAAAAAATAATGCTCTGTATAACTAACAGTTGCGGGGGGGAATAAGTAAAATGCGCTATTTGCTCCAACAAAGATCTGTTAGAGCAAAGTTTGCAGACATGCATAAATGCCCTTAGGGCTAATAGTGATCAACCGCATCACCTAGCATGCGTATATGGTTATTAGTGTTAATTACGGTGTGGCGGTGACTATGATGGTAGAAATCACAATGGAGGCGACTGTCATGTGTATATCTAATCCTGTCTTACGTTAGAAAACACAGTTCACCTCTCCCACTATATCATTACAACTGGTTCTTTTACCTGCTTACCGCTTTCCTAACAGTGTATTATTTGAATGGCCTGCTTATTAATGATTAGAAACGCATGTTCGCCTAGACCGATGTAATAAAAAAGCCAAATGCGGAAGGTACATAGGGACTAACTAAGTTAGACAAAATGGTAGGTTTCTAAGCCAAAAATTCCGGCACACCGACAATTGGGAAGTAAGTAGTTGCCTGGCTTATCGTAGAAAAAACTGATTTGATTTGCGAAATTTCAGATACGTGTAGTACACGCCGATGCCATGATACTCCGTCCGTCGTGACCGATAGGGACTGGTAAAGTTGCGGGAAGCGGCAGTGACAGGAGCGTGATTTTGATTATAGTGAAACTTACATCCGACCGCTTCCTTCTATCTTCCTACGTTCATCAGACATACTCATAAATTGCATTACCGACAATGACGAGGGAAACTGGAATGACCCCTTCTGGCCTGTCAGCCGTGTCCGACAAATCAGGGCTCAAGAGAGAGAGAGAGCACCAAGGTACAACGGGACGAGTGAATTCCGTAACGCGATCGCTGCGCGCCCCTCTATCATATTCGAATGTTAGTACTGACAAATTGCGCTTGTGGAAGTAAAAGTAGGGGTATTACCAACACGGGAGAGTCAGACGCAGACACAGACTGATAGTGAACAAAGCGGTTTCATGATGCTGAACCCGAATTCGGTTGCTGAATGTAAACGCCAAGTTCTCGTGAAGTATGATAGTAAATGGAAAGAAGACACGGCAACAGCCCTCTTAATTAGTGAGGAATGTGTCCTTATAGCACATCTATTGGCGGAAACGAACCGACATCTAAGGATTCTGCCCGCAGAGTACAATACCTACCTAACCACACTTTTTCGTGACGATGGAAATCCAGTCGAACCGGTCGAATTTATCACGTGCCAGCGACTTCGACCCTAGTAATTTCAAATTCTTCGAAACCATGGTGACCGCTAAGTGAAGGGGTAAACTGAGAATGGCAAAAATTCCTATCCCTACTTGCATTATTAAGAGTGGACGCCTGATATTTATTTACTACCCAATGGCTTTACTCAAATACTCAGTCATGGCATTGCGGAATAAGGGAGAAAGTGAAGTCTTGAGCCAATAAAACCGAATTATAGTTTCATCGATGACTCCAGCCAGATGTCACGTCCGAAAGGGTTTATAACGGGGGAGGTGTTGATTACAGCAAGCCGATGTCCGAAAATGTCAAAAATGGTCTCGAGAATTTCCTCATAAATTGGGAAATGTGCGACTACAATAAAAACTCGTCGGAAAATTGGAGGGGCGACAACGCTGAGGTGACATTATCAAAAGTGGGAGTTACATTAACAATTAAGGGAATGGGAAAAATTACGGTGTAAACGCACCCGTGTCTAGTCTGAGGAACTTGAACAGAGCGTAGAGATAACATT